AATGAGGCATCCTCAATGTGAGACTTTACCTTCTTATAAAAAATGATGGCCGGCAGCCTAGACAGCAGAGTAAGGCTAAGCTGGGTAACAAATTGCAGAAGAGAAAAGGAGAATAAGAAAATAAGTTTGCAGAATATGTTTCAAAACAAGGGAAAAGCTATAAAAGGCAATTATCTGTGCTCCTGGATAGTAAGATGGCAAAAAAGAGTGACAGCAATACGGTAAGGAGAAGAAAAGATGCCATTTTTACAATTGGTGGGTCTCTTTTAAATCATATAACGTCACAGAACTAGTGCGCATGTGTGGCCACGCCCACTTTTCATTAAATGGAAGTAAAACGGCATCTTGGTCAGAAAAAAGCTTTCATCATTTCGTAACAGAGGAGTTTTCGTTAAAGGGAGGTCCGTTTTCATTGAAAAACTGGGAAAATGAATTGGTACATTTAATTTTTTTCATTATAAGGAGGTTTTCGTTAAAGAGAAGTTCCGTTATCAGAGGTTCCACTGTACTGCACAGTACTATATATTCCACACAGTGCTACATTTTCCTACCATGCGGTTATTGGAAGTTGTAGCACTGGCGGTGCCTTTGATCTGCCCACGCACCATACTACAAATGTATTTATTGTATTATAATCAGTAGTACCTTCTTCTTGCACAAGAAGCACATTAGACGTTTACATTCAGGACACTCCACTTTCTTACGATCCCTAAAATCATTAATAAAACCAGCCCCACAGCCCTAGGAGGAGAGGAAAGAGAGAAGGATTAGGTGAAGATTTGCTAGACAGAAAGTAACACTGTAGATTGGTTAGATAGTCATTGAATGTGTACACACACACACACCCTCTCACACTGTTAGGAAGGGAGGAGGACTTAATATGGTGTAAGGAAATTCATAACAACATAGACAAATGTAAAGCTTGTACACATACATGTACATGTACATAATGCTAGTGACTTACTTCATGAGTACACCTAACAAATCCAGGTTCTTTTGAAAGATTAAAGTCAGCCAATTTTTTCTGACACAAGTCATAATCGGTAGAATCAAGATGTACCTTTACCTAAAATATACACATAACATTTAAGAATTCTAAGACACAATGCCATTTGTTTTACCATAGCCACCAAGAGCTGAAGATTCATCTCTAGCATCTGGTCATTGTTGCCTAAATCTGGCAGTCCACAAATGGGACAATTGAAATGTTTAACACTTTTCTCTCTGATTGCAATTGAAAAGTGTGCCTTGAAGCAGTCTTTACATAGTAAGTCACCACAAGCAGGCATGTACACCATCTAAAGAGATATGTCATGAAACTGTATAGTAAAACCATAGATATTAGAGACTACGTAACCAGGATTGGAAACTAGCTCACGCGATCCATTCAACCAGTACAAACCAGCTGACACAGGGTCTGTGATTGGATTCTGGTGGGTGTGGTCAAAAAATTGCTACTCATCGACAACATTCAGAGGAAGACTGTGAATCATGTTTGTGTAACATGACTATAATAAAAAAATAATGATACCATTGTTATTTTGCAAATATACTGTGATATTGTTCAAATTTCTGTTACTTGCAAATTTTCAAAACTTTTTGTACCTGTTACTCCATTACACGGGTAAAAATAGACTAACAAGATCATTGGAAATGTTGCCACAATCATTGTGTATGGAACTGTCATAGTTTCATTTACTGATTTGCTATGTCAGAGGAGTAATATCTAAAATACTGTTTCTGCGAACAGTCCACTGTCGTACCTGTTACAGCTTTTACAAAACAAGCAGAGGTTTCTCCTTTTGGATGATGATAGGTTGATATTGTGTGCATGGAATTGAGGGGTTAGCATTTAAATTCATGCAAAGCATTTGACTATAATACTGCTTTAAAACCAAAAATTCATTAATTCCGCATGAAAAGCAAGCCACATGGTGAAATTTATTCTATTTAATACCCAATTCAATCACGGACGTTGTCCACTGGGGAATCCTAGCATAGATTTTATAACTACATAACATGGATTGGAAACTGATCACGTGATCCCATTCAAATCAATGTAAGTGGGCGCGGACAGACTTTGTAATCATCTTTCTCCTAATCTCTTTCGGCCGCTTCGTTGAAATGGCCAAGAGAACTTCCTGATTATATGTAACTGGAAGCAAGCTTCAAGCCAATTATTAGTAACGCGGTAGCGTTACTAAGTAGGATTCACCCCAAAACAATATGGCTGCCACGACTTTTGCAGCCTTGCTATACCGGGAAAACGAGCTCCTATGCTTACCAGACTTCTTAGAGGACCTTATCTTGACCAGAGGACTCCATTAGTACCACTAGCGTGGCTCTAAATCTTGTCTGAGAGGAAAGTCAAAAATCGGCGAACCGGCCATTTTGTTCAGTCACAATTTTTTCATCTTCATCATCATCATCTCCTGTCAATCGGTTAATGGAGGGTATCATGGTCTTTGAACAATGCTACAAGACTAATTTTTACACCACTCTACTCCAACTATCCATGCGCAGGTCCACAACTTTTCAAATAACTCTAACAATTAGAAAAAGTTGCCCTCTCTCTATCGTTGCCAGTCCAACTTACCTCATTCCGCCATTTTGTTAATTAAAGAAGCATGTGCTCTAGTGGTGGGCGATATATCGATACAGCATCGATACTATTCGATATTTCTATGTATCGATACGGTATCGAATCGAAAATCATGAGATTGCAAAAACGATTCGATATACCACGCCCATTTATTAATAGTTATCACCAATTACCACGCCCATTTATTAATAGTTATCACCAATTACCACACCCATTTATTAATAGTTACCACTAATTAACTCAATAAATTTTATTAAGTTTTTAGATTAATAATAATCATTGGAGCCATTATTTCAGCTGCAAACAAACTCGGCTGCAAATCCTGCAATAGCTTTGTCAGGTCAGCGGCACTGCAAGTTTGAATTCTTGTGGGAGACTGGGAGTCTGGTAGAAGGTGCCTGTTTGTCTAGAAGTTCTACTGATTTAAGTATCATGGCTTCTAGTTCTTCTACTGTTGGTGCAGAGTCACTATCCATGCTATCTCTAATGAGGGGGTGTGGCTTTGATATTGTATCGAAAACATATCGATATGTGTCGATATTGCATGTGTATCGAATCGTTATCGAATCGATCTGAAATTTTGAGTATCGCCCACCACTAATGTGCTCCAAAATGTGGGTGTGGTTGTGCATGCTCAGATCTGCAGATCTCAGAACTGTGAAAAGGGAGCAATTTTTTTATCTAGCTCTGCTTGGATCAACTGCAATACTTAATGGAGGTTCCAGGCTTCCAGTTCCAGCTAAGAAAAGGTAGTTAGTCTTGGATATCATTGTTTTATTATGTGTGTTCAATAAATTGTATTTTTAAAACACAAACAATAATATTAATTAATCTTATACAATGATCATGAGCTTGCAACAGAAACAACAGTCAACAGGACAGGATTGGAAGGAAGAGATTGGTACTGTCACTTCTTCTTGAACAAGGATTTGTGTCAAGATTATTATTATACCATACTTCACTAAACACTGATCAGTATAGATATAGTATAGAATTCCTTTAGCATATAACTATATTCACCACAATAGCAATCGACACCATCTGAAAAAAATATTACAAATATTATTAAAAAATCAACAAAAACAAGAACATTAAAAATTAAAAAAAAACAAGATGAAGTAGGATTCTAGAGTAAATTTGTAAAAAGTAACAGAAACAAGGACAAGTAGGATTCCGAACAACCAACGAAAATATGAAATGAAAATCCTACTCTCGTGACACAAATTCTATTCTACATTGCAAGATGATCCGTAATT